TCAATCCGTCTCCTTCTTTCTCGTCTCTCTATGTTCTGTCTGCCATGTGATAAATGGCACACATTTTAAATGAATAAACACTGGAACACCAGTACACGGCCTACTGGGACACACTGGGACACGCTGGGACACACTGGGACACACTGGGACACGCTGGGACACGCTGGGACTGACCCATTCCACACTGGGTTCTGTAGGTCAGAGATACTGCGAGGACGTCTTCTAAACCACTTAAACTGTCTTCTGACGGAGAACCACAGAAGAAGGACGCATGTCTCCAGAAAGACGGAGAAGAAGAGCAGAGCACCATGCAGGAGCAGCAGAGGTGCAGTCACAGAGCACCGTTCCCCAAGCTTTTATTTTGAAAGGCGCCCTCTGCCCAGATATTATCATATTATTATTGTTGTTATTTTTGTTATTGGTAGAACAGCTGACTGGGGGTCGAGTTCACACTTCCCGCCTTGCTGAGTAAACTCATCCGAACAAAGACACGTCTCATGTTACATTATGACAATGGAACATCTTAAAGATGAGCTTTGCGTGTGAATGACACCGTGTTTGAGTTTCAATGCAATAAATCAACATGAAACAGATGATGACATCACAAACACGGGTCACATGGAGACAAAACCCCTTGACCAAAGCAGGCGACACACACGCACACTGATGTTCACAATGGAAGAAATGAGACACACGCACACGCACACACACGCACACACACACACTGGTCCTCTGTGTACCAGCTGACCTGCAGAGCGTTCTGTCTGAAACATATGAAAATCAAACCTCATTATGAGGTGCTTGTCTGGCTCTGCGTGTGTGTGTGTGTGTGTCTGAGGGAGTGTGTGTGTGTGTGTGTGCGATGCTCATTAGAATTCTACCCAGAGGGAGCTAGACTACCCCTGTCGTCTCGCACCCCCACACACACACACACAGACGCACACTGTTCATTTGAATGTGAAAGAAAGAGGGAAGTCAGATGGAGCACATGCAGAGTGTGTGTGTGTGTGTGTGTGTGTGTGTGTGTGTGTGTGTGTGTGATGGCTGTGATCCAATGTGGTACTAGACATGTCAGTACTCATTAACAGTCTCACAGTGGTGTGTGTGTGTATACGCGCACACATCGGAGAGCATCACAGTGTAATTGGTTGGAGAGTGTCCGGAGTGCCTTTGAGCCAAAGCGTTTCAATCCCGAACCTTCATCCCAATCGTCTACATGTCGGATCCTTCAGGGTTCCTCCTGCGTGTTAGCCATTAACATCTGTTTAAAAGGCCGTTCAGAGCCTCAAATGGGGGTATTTGTTGTTCCCGCTGAATTATTGGTGAATGAATAAAGAATAAACTGGATCGGTTTGGTCATGAAATGTCCCATCGGGTCCGATCAGCCACCCGACCAGACAGAGAAGAACGTCGTCCTTCCTGGACCAGCTTGATTTATTTGTTGGACACGTTAAAGGCTGCGGTTGTGGAAGCTATTATCGATTTCACCACACGTCATGTCAATAATTAATATCAATTACATCAAATTGGTTTCCTCTTTTCTCTCTGAATTTACCACCTCGCGTCTCTTTTAAGCAGCAGGAAGCAGAATTAAATAAGCAGAATGTAGAAGAAGAAGCTCGTCCCGAAGCTCAGATACGACTCTTCGTCCAGACGTTTACAGACCTTGAGCATTTTTATCTTCTTCGGCGATCCTTAAAGGAGCGTCTGAGAAAGATCAGGTCCAAAACATACTCAAGGACAAATCGGTGTGTGTGTGTGTGTGTGTGTGTGTGTGTGTGTGTGTGTGTGTGTGTGTGTGAGAGACATGTTGTCCCTGTCCAAACAGGTTTTTCTATTAAACAGAAACCAGCTCTGCCAGTCATTACACACACACACACACACACACACACCTGGCCAGACACAACAATGTCTGAGTGCTTTGAATGTCTGACCCTTTGTGTCGTTGTGCGTGTGTGTGTGTGTGTGCGTTTTTGTGTGTTTGTCTGGGAAAATCAATTCCACATTAATAAACCGCGGTAATGAATTGAGCGGCCGTCTCACTGTGGCTGCAGTGAAGAAAGGGCTCAATAGTATGAATGACGCTAATGTATCACACATCTACACGGCCGGCTCTGATGAACGCCGGCGGTTAGCGGCCGGGCGCCGTTCGATTGCCGCCGCCGCCGCAGAGAAAGATACGGAGACATAGATGGAGATATCTGTCTCTAAAAATACTCAGAGATGCTCCGCGTGAGTGCACGCGCGCGCGTGTGTGTGTGTGTGTGTGTGTGTGTGTGTGTGTGTGTGTGTGTGTGTGTGTGTGTGCGTGCACGAATGTGCGTGTGCGTAGGAGAAAGATAACCACATCTTTAGACGAAACAAAAACCTTCCGCAGATACACAAAACAAGCCCGGCGGGACAAAGGCGAGACCAACGGAGCGCAGCGGGGAGAGGCTTCAGAGAAGGGAAAGGCCGAGCACGGGGAGGCGGAATGAAGCCAAAATATTTAACCGTCTGCGTATTTTAGGGTTGGAATTCGGAGTCGCCAAAACAGTGTTCTTGGCAACCGAAGATGAAGAGCGC